CCCGACAAAAAAAAAAAAAAAAAAGGAAAGAAACGGAAGAGACAGAGACAGAGAGAGACAGAGAGAGATAAGACAAGAAACACAGCAGCCAACTTAAGAGTAATAGAGTTAATCAGGGTGGGGCAGAGTAACTCAGCAGGTAAAGGCACACACCCCACAAGTCTGGCAACATGTGTCTGATCCCCAAAACCTACATAAAGGTGGAAGGAGGGAAATGATTCCACAAAGTTGTCCTCAGAGCTCCACATACATAATACGGCACATGCACCCACAAGCACATATCATACATAAATAGATACACACACACACAAATATTAACCGAAAGATAAAATATAAGCAGGCTGAGCATAGCAGTGAATGTCTGTAACTCCAGCACTTGGGAGGTGGAAGCAGGAGGATAAGGAGTTCAAGGTCAGCTTAGGCAGGCTATCTAAAACCCTGGCTCAAAAACACAAAATAAAATAATTTAAGCAAAAGAAGGATCAGCTTTGGATCAAAAGAATATCCAGAAGCACACACTAATATGAACTCACCCAATTTTTTAAAAAGCTAAGACAGACAAGTGTGGTAGCCCATGGCAGAACTCAGGGAAGCAGAAGCAGGTGAACTTCTGTGAGTTGGAAGCCAACCTGGCCTATAAACATAGTTCTAGGCCAGCAAGGACTACACAATCAGATCTTGCCTTAAAAAAAAAAAAAAAACAGCAAGGAGAAAAAAAATCTTCCTCATAAGGCTTCCCAATCAGAAGTACAGAAGAAAAGGAAAGGAACACATACACAATACTAATCACTGTAGGCAAGATGCTAAGGACGGGAGAAAACTTAAGGAGGAAACACTCAAATACAAACAATACAGATTATAAAGTTAAAAACAGAAATTTGCCAGGCACTGGTGGCGCATGCCTTCAAGCCCAGCAGCACTTGGGAAGTAGAGGTGAAGGCAGAGGCAGGTAGATGGATATCTGTGAGTTTGAGGCCAGCCTAGCCTACACAGTGAGTTCCAGGCGGTCCAGGGCTACCTAGTGAACATCAGAAACTACTGTAGCGAAATATGACAGACACCAGTGGGGGGGGGGGTCTGTATCAATCTCATTTGCATCAGACACAAGAACATTCTAATATTACAAATAACAAAATACTTCAAAAAAAGAAAGGTCTTCGGGTTAGAGATAGCTCAGCAGTTAAGGGCACTTGCTGCTCTCCCAGAGGATCTGAGTTCAGTTCCCAGCACCCACATCAGGTGGATCACAACCACCTGTAACGCCAGCTCCAGCAGATCTGACCACCTACCTCTTCTGGTCTCCGAGGGCACCAGCACACGTCATGTATACTCACTTTATTTTTAAACAAAACAGAAAAATTTAAGACAAGATCTGGCTATAAAGTAAAAATCAAACAGTGAGGGCGGGCAAGATGGCTCAGCAGGCAAAGGTGCCTGCTGCTTAACCTACAGACCTGAGTTCAATGCCCAGAACCCACATGGTGGAGAGAACCCAATCCCACAAGTTGTCCTCTGACCTCCACACATACCACACTCATAATAAGATGTAGGACCAGGCATGCTGGTAGATGCCTTTAACCCCAGCACTTGGGAGGCAGAGGCACGCAGATCTCTGAGTCTCAAGAAATAAAAATACTGAAGTCGGCAAAATAACAGTAGCTTTTCCATACTCATACTTTATCCTTTCGCGCTCAAGCAACTCTGACATCTCAGAAGGCTTATGCACTGAAATACTTTCTGAATACCAGGAGCCACAGAAAATTCACTGTTGGAGCAGTTGGTGTTTGTTTTGAAACAGGGTCTCCCTGTAGCCTCAGCTGTCCTGGAACTAGCTACGTAGACCAGGCTGGCCCCGAACTCAAGAGATCCGCCTGCCTCTGCCCTCCAGAGTACTGGGATTTTAAAGGAGTGTGGCACCATGCCCAGGGGCAGTTAGCATTTTTAAGTTTCCCCATTTAAATGCTTAAATTCAAAGCACTGGAGTCTCTCGGCTTATATTATAAGAAATCTGTCTTTTTAAAGCTTTTTAAATTTTCGAGCAAAGGACTAATTTGCCCAGGTTGGCCTTGAACCCAGGGCCTCCTGCATGGGAATCACAAGACTGCGCCACTTCCGGGCTGTTCCCCAGCACCGCAGGAGGTTTTAAAGCGACAGCACGACCGACCCCACGATACGTCGGTGGGCCACGGCTGGAGGCAGTGAGGTACCAGGACTCTGAGACGCCCAATGGCGGCCCCTAGACTTTCCGCGTCCTCTGGAGCAGGAGGCCGCAGGCAACCACGCTCTTCCGCCGTCTCCACACGGCGCGCGTCCCGAAGCCCAACCGCCGCCGGCGACCGTTGCGGCGTTTGTGGTGTTAGGACGCAGCCACGAAACCCTGCCACCCGCGCCCTACCCGCTCCGCGCTGCTCACCGACTGGCGCCCGCGCTCTCAGCTTTGCCCCGGAGCCGCCGCGCTGGCCTACGCGCCCAATCCGCCGCGGCCTCTCTAGGACGTCGGGAGGACCGCCTTCTCGACTGCTCCCGGCCCGCCCCTGTGCTTGAGGCCTAGGCGGATCCTCACTCACCTTCTGCCCTGCTGCTGAGCTCCTCTATCTACCTAGCCTCCTGTGTCCCCAAAAGGGTCTCTACATAGGAAGCACATTATCTGGAAAAGTGGGGGTGACCAGAATGCGATAAAGTGACTTCATTTTGTCCCAGGCATGCTTGACCCAAGACTGAATTAAGTTCCAGTATACATACCTCCCTCCCCTCTTAGTCTGATTCCCAGAAATAGCTAACCAGTGATAGTGATGCCACCACTTAGATGCCCTAACTGCTTATCTTGTGCCCGTTTGCTTGCAACTGAATTAGGTAAAGTCCTATTTATCTGACTGTAACAATGTTGTTAAGGAGTTTGAGACCATTGGGAAAAGACCACCAGATGCAATTCAGATTTTAATTAGCCGAATTTATTAAACTGCAACTGTGTCTCTCAGTCAGATCCCAGCCACAGGGCCTGAGGGAAGAAATCAGGTAATAAAGGTGAAAACCATAAGAGAAAGCCACAAAAATTTCTGTATACCTGTAGTAACAAGGTGGTCCCAAGTAAGGTCAGGGCACCCCTAAGTCAGCAGGATAAGCAAGTTACAGAAGCCAAAATCAGCAGTTTAGTCATATCATCGCTTTCTTTGTTTAACGTAGTGGCAAGCAGGTGGGATGCAGCTACATATTTCTGGAAAAGGGGGAAGAGCCTTTTGGAGTCATGGCTATATCAGCACAGCCGTTAAGAAAAACAGGATATTGTTTAGGCTAGTTTCCCTTGGGTGGGCAAGAAACACAGCTGCAATATCTGAGTGTCAACATTTTACTCTTGGACAGCTATTTTTAAAAAGGAAAACTGATAGAGTCCAGGTCTGCAGCGAAGCTCCCCCAGTGCAGTAAAATCTCACAGGACAGGCCCAGAAGGGCCCCTTGAAAAACTGGAATTGAGTCAGGAGCTGCACTGGCCATAAAGAACTCTCAACAAAGGCTGTTTCCCTCAGATAAGTTTCAAAGATAAACAGACCCCTTAATCCCATGTTGATGTAAGAAGCTGTCTCAGCAGAGACTGCTTCCCCCTGATAAATTCCAGACCCTGCTTCCCACCAAAACTCTGAATTATTTTTCCAGGCCTTCTGCATTCCCTCCAGCCAGCAGCCTGCAAGCTGGTGGCTACTTCTCACTCTTCAGTTGAGGGTCATCCCCTGCAACCCTCCAACTCCAATAAACTATTTTGCCAGGGTCCTTCTGTGTGTTATGGCGATTCCTTCCTGATTTTTATAACCGAAAACACCCTTCAAAGGGGGAGGTAACATACTAATTGGGGCCCTCTGGGAGTGGAGATGATCTGTTTCTTTTGCTTTGGTTGGGGCAGCCAATTGCTCCCTGAGCTTGTGGGTTCTATCTGATTCAGTGGGGCTTTTCTCTGGATTTTAAACTTTTCTCTTATTTCCTCATCCTGGTAAATTTTGAATTTTAGCACCCAGGTCCAGATGGTGAGCCAGTGTTGATTGATTGGTGAATTCTAAGACATAAGCCTTATGATCATGGGAGTACATCTAGGGCATGTCCTGGCTCTATCCCTCATGACAGAAATAAGGGGGTCCTTTACCTCATTACGGGGTTCATTCCTGACTGGACATAAGGTGAGAATATTTCCCTTTAGTCTTGCTTGCCTTACAGCTTCCTTGCGGCCTGGGTAAAGACCATGCTGATATGTTCGTGCTTCAAGATCCATGCTGAGGGCCAAGTGCGGTAGTGCACACCTTTAATCCTAGCACCAGGAGGCAGAGTCAGGTAGATCTCTGTCATCCAAGGGTTGGGACAACTCCCAATCCCAGGTCTCAACTTCTCTAGTTGGCAGTAAAACTTAAGGCACACCAGAAAACCGGACAAAAATGAAGAACAGAAAGAGACAAAACACCCAAGCAGGCAGAGGAGACAAAATGGTCACAGGCATTCAGTGGACACCTTCACTCATACCTCTAAACCACTCATACACCTGAACTAGAGGGACGGGAGAATGTGTCCTACTGTCCCCAGGAACTGGGTTTAAAGATTGCCTCCAACCTATGTGATGTCCCCCCAAATGTCTGGACTTCTAGAGAAAAACTCACCAATTAGTTCTATCCTAATCTCACATCAGCCAACAGCTTTCCATTTTCACTTTAATTTTGGTTTCAATTTGGAATGGTCACAGTCACAGGCTCCCTCAGACCTCTGAATCCACTCACAGGCTCACCCCCTTATATGGCCTGTCCCGAGCTGCTGACTCTTCAGTTTGTGGTAACCAAGTTTCCAGGCTCCCACAGGCCTCGGATTCCCTTGGTGGGCTCACCCCCCTTTTGGGCCTGTCCCAGACCATGGTCCTGGGTCTGGGGTCTCCCAGGATCTGGCTGGGGCCTCCAAATGTTACTGACTCGAGACCACTGGGAAAAGACCACTAGACTCAATTCAGATTTTAGGCAGCCAAATTTATTAAGCTGCAGCTGACCACGGTCTCTCAGTTGGATTCAAGACATGAGGACCCAAGGGAAGAAACCAGTTTATAAAGGTGAAAAACATGCCAGGTATAGTTTCCCTTGGGTGGGCAAGAAACACAGCAGCTGCAATGGCTGGGTGGCAACATTCTTCTCTGTGGTCAGCTATATTTAGAAAAGGAAAACACCCTTCTAAGGGGAAAGAAACTTACTGGAACTAAGTTCAGACCTTGACCTGGCTGCTGAGCTGGTTTCTAAGCTCTAAGGTAGCTACTTCGTATGCAATGGAGTCGCTGTAGTCATTACAATGTAATTAAACCATGACCACCAAAGCCCCTCTGCCCCTTGCCCTTAAATTATGTAACTGTGGTGGGATGATTAAACACTGCTTATTCTGGCTTCTTTAAACTTGCTTATGGCTTTGTCCCAAGGGAAATGAAACCTTGAACTTCTTACAGCTGCAAATTACACAGAAGTGAAGCAATGTGACACAATTGTGGTTTCTGCCTTTAAAATCTCCCTCCTTACCTAGAAGTGCACTGCAGTCCCTAATTCCCGACTATGGGACTATAGTCAGCTGAAGCTTAAATAAATAATGTTGGTAATGTCAACACATGTGCACTCTGATCTGTTGGAACCCCAGTCTGGGCTACCCAACATTCACGGGAGGTCGCACCCCAATAACTCAGTCCCCAGACCAGGAGAAGCAACAAGCAAGAGGATTTTATTGGCGTCTGCGCAGACGGGCTCCTGCCTCACTCGGAAAGGAGAAGAAGCCACGAGCTCAGCTTACAGGCTGCTTATAAAGGCAAAAACCACAAACCACGAGCTCAGCTTACAGGCTGCTTATAAAGGCAAAAACCACAAACCACAAGCGGCTCCTAAGCCAAGAAATGCAGAAGTGGGAGGGGGGATTTTTCGGGTGATTTCCAGCTTGGGCAAGGTGCACAAAAAGGTCAACTCTTTCTCAGCAGTTTAGAACTGTTTTTTCGTTTTACTTCCTTGTATAACTTATTCTTTAGCCTGGGGGACTGGGTTTTCGTTTTACTTCCTTGTACAACTTTTTCTTTAGTCTGGGGGACTGGGTTTGAATCCATCAGATCTTTGTTCTCATTCACTGAACCCAAAGGTATATGTGGCAATAGAAATTTACTGACAATGAGGTGGTGGCTAAGAACCTTGAACCATGGAAAGTCTCCTGAGATAAGAAAAGAATGATGAAAGTAAACATGGATCTGCTGTTTAGTACAGGTCTAACTACCAGGTACACCCCCATTGAAACCTTTGTTTACCAAACTTCTGTATTCATGTGATCTTTTGTAACTGTAGGAAGTACACAGAAAAACTACCAAACAGGGCCACTCCATGAAAATAGTTTATTAAAGAACTGCTGAGCTACCTCTTGAGAGCAGAGAATAGCAGCTAGCAGAAGTAAAGCAGGTTTTAGAGGCAGTTAGGGGTTTGGGTAACTTTTGATGATGCTCTCACCTGGGGGTGACCATTGAAGAATGAGGAAGCTGGATGGTGCTTTGTGAGGTGAATGGGTGGGTTTAATAATACCCTTGCTTTGGCCAGGCATGGTGGCAAATGCCTTTAGTCCCAGCACTTGGGAGGCAGAGGCAGGCAAATCTCTGTGAGTTCAAGGCCTGCCTGGTCTACCTGGTGAGTTCCAGGCCAGCTGGGCCTACAGGGAAACCCTGTCTCAAAAAGGCCAAAAAAAAAAAATACCCTTGCTCAAAAGGCATGCTATATGATGGGCTCTAAACCTTAAGTTTTAAGGAAATGTGGTGTTGTGGGCAACAGGGGTAGGAAGAAGGACCACAGAGGGAAATTTTGATGGAGGGGTGGTGAGGGGCCACAGAAGGGAAAGAGATGTCCCAGAACTTACGAGGGAATCTCGAAGGGAGTAGGGTGAAGGGGGCAAGGGTGAAGTTTTGATTGGAAGGTCCTCAGAGGCTAGAAGGAAGAGGAAAAGCCCAGAAGGAATTGGATGAAAGGAGAGGGAGAAACAATGCTTTGTCATGTTGTCCCTGCCTAACAGTGTGGTAGGGCAACTGGGCATAACAAGGAAGGAGTGAGTGATTAGGTGGCCCCAGAGGGAACAGAGGAGGGAGGACAGAGCTCGGAGTTGGTGGGGGGCAGCCATCAACACCCATCACAGAGATCTGAGAAGGATGTTTTACTGGAGTAAGCATTGGAAGTACAGACCAAGTGGCCCAAGAATTGATTTAAAATGACAGAGACAAACTGGACAAGCCAAGTATGATGCCAAGGGATATGTAGATTTCTTTTCTCTATCCATGTTTTATGTGCATGGGTGCCTGCATGCCCTAGCTATTTATGTAGATCAAGTATCCAAGCTGGGTATTGTTTTTACTTATCCTCCTGTGTGGAGGTTACAAGTTTCCATTCCTGTTGGGGAACCCTGCTGTTAAGGTCACAATGGAGCTCAGCACTAAATGGAGGACTCCCTTTCTCA